GGAGGAGCTCGAGGGGTCGGAGCTGCGGCCGCGCGGCAGGGAGAAGGTGCGCAGGAGCACGTCCCGCGACCGGCTGGACGACGTGGTGCTGCTCACCAAGGACATCCAGGAGGGGGACACGCTGAACGCCGTGGCGCTGCAGTACTGCTGCTCGGTGAGGGCCCCTCAGCTGCCGCCGGGGTTGCCGCCTTGTTGCCGGCCCTGTTGCCTTGGGCTTGGGCGCACCTGGAGGCAGCACGGGTGCCCTGGGCCCGTCCTGCCCACCCGGGCTCAGGTGCCGTCAGCCTGGGCGTGTAGACTCGTATCTGAGGTGCTGGGGCTTTTGGAGATCAAAAAACTCATCCTTAATATGGCTGAATTTCCAAAATAACCAATAGGATGAAATGCAGACTGTGCCTGAAGATTCTAGCTTTACTGTGTTGTTTTTTGGGCAAAAAGTAAGTAGTTTTTTCTTACATGGTGTTGGTGCCCTGCTAGAAAGTGCCGTGCTGCAGTAGGAGCCCTCAGGGTGTGTAGCCACATGCGGGCACCTTTGCTAGTGTGGTGTGGCCTGTTGCAGCTTGCCCAGAGCACGGTGTTGTTGAACCACCTTAGGAGCCTCCGCAAGGAATCTCAGCTCCGTTGAGGAGCACAATTTGCTGCTGGTTTCTTTTAAACTCTGCAGAATTGCTCAAAATATTTATTAGCATCTGTATGCTCAGCTGCTGGGAGCTGCTTGCCCAGAAATGTACTCTTCTTGCCTTGTTCATATGTTTGTTCTGTTTTAATTCTTGCTCAAAGTTCTTAAGCTGGTCTTGTGCATGTCCTTCCTTCCTATTTTTTTGTCTGTCTGATACTAATTAAGGCAGAGACTTCTCTTTTAATTAAATGTTAAATTTGCATGTATCCTGCTAAGCAGAGGAAATCAGCTGCACATGTAGTGTGGAGTGTCTGCTACTAATGTAGCTTTCTAGAGGTCAAACTTGGTCAAATTAACAGTCTTTGTTTTCTAAAGCCTTGCTATGGTCTAATGGTCAGGCAGGAACAACCCTAAGAGCAGAGTGCCATGAAAGACTATCAAAGTCTTGGCATCCTTTCCTAAGTAGTCATGACACGTTTGAGCCTAATTAGGAAATTCTTTGCCTCAGCATCCACCTCTGGGGTGTTTTGAGGAAACTTACTATAATCAGATCACAAGAAAGGCAGGGATGGAATGCTGAGCCCTTGGAGATTTAAGGGGGCTGTGAAAGAGGTCCAGGTGTTTGGGCAGGAAACATAACTCATGTAGTGGTAGTATCTACTAATCCTTGGGGAAATGTTGCTGTTGGTCATCTTTATGCTGATCTTTCCAGTTTAAAATACTTAAATACGAAGTCTTGGGGACTGAAGCTTGCCCACAACTGGGCTGCAACTGTGCAGTGTATACTAGTGTTGGTCACCCCAATTTGCCAACTGCTTGTGACTAAATCTGTTCAAACTGGAGCAGTTGCAGCAACAAGGCTCTCCAGACTTGCCTTTAACTGTCTTGTAGTCTGTCTGTTCATACTTTTTCTTAAAATAGATGCCTTCTCAATATATGAGTAGTTTGAGCTCTAGTGTCATGTGTTCTGGATGCTATAACTTGGTAGCTGCTGCTTAAGAGCAGGCCTCCTATCTTTGTTTTTACCAGGTGTTGTGAGAAAGTGCTGGTTTTCTTTGCTTATTTATGTTGAGGTTTTGTGGCAGTGCATCATAGGGGAATAGAAGGGAATAGTGTCTTGTAATGAAGTGGCTAGTTCTCCCAGGGCAATTAAATACTTGCAGAATATTTAGCATGAGACTTTTGACTTTGAACCTTTAAGAGCACCGTGAGCAATATTGAATCCCTTGAAGGGGAGAGCTGACTTGAGATCATTATGACTTAAGAGATGTTAAATTATGCCTGCCTGAGTTCTGCATTGCTGTACCAAAATCTTCAAAACCTGGAAAAAACCAAATGAAAATCATGTCTGGATGAATTAGCTCTTAATTTCTATTATTCCTTACTTGAAAGTTTGAAATTTAAATCAGAAACTAATCAGAAATAAAATCAGAAAAGTATCAGAAAATTAAGTCAGAAATCTATTCCAATTGTGAGACACTGCAGCCAAGTTGGCTCTGAAATACTTGCCTCTAAACCATGAGTACACATTCAGAGATTATTCATTCATTAAATGATTTTCAGAATCTTTATCTGAAACAAGACGTTTTGTTACCTTGTAATTGCCTGTGAGTTCCTGCTTTCACATTGTTCCAATTGGATCTCTGACCTCTTCTCACTTTGTTATGTTTCAATATCATAAAGGGGCTCTCAGGGAAGAATTCTATTTCTCAGAGAGTTAGGGGTTGTAAAACTTGCATTTCAGCTTTGATACTTAAATCCTTTTTTTTGGTTGTTTTTCAGGTTGCAGACATCAAGAGGGTTAACAATCTTCTCAGCGATCAAGATTTTTTTGCGCTGAGGTCCATCAAAATTCCAGTGAAGAAGTTCAGCGTGTTGACTGAAACGCACATGTCTCCAAAAGGAAGGGCGGCTCTGCGGGCTGCCCACTCCTCCTCGGAGGCACAGGGCACCTCGTCGCCTTCTGATAAATTCTCTGCTAATGAGACTGCTGGCAACTTCTTAAAAGAAGTGGATCGTGATATAGAACAAATAGTGAAGTGTAATGATACAAAGAGAGAGAACCTTGATGAAGTTGTTTCTGCCTTAGCAGCCCAACAGGTCTGTTTTGAAACTGATGGTAAAGCTAAGAAATGCAAAGATCCGTATTATGGAGCAGATTGGGGTATAGGCTGGTGGACAGCTGTAGTGATTATGTTGGTTATTGGCATAGTAACTCCAGTTTTTTATCTTCTGTATTATGAAGTTTTAGTGAAAGCAGATGTCAGTCACCATTCTACAATGGAATCTTCCCATGCAGGTGTCACAGCACCATCGCACCAGAAACACATAGAAAATGGAATTAATTCAGGAAATATTATAAATGTTAATCGAGGATATAAATGACAATCAACAGGAGCTTCTGCATTATGACTGAAAGCCCCGTACAAGTGTTATACACCTAGATACATAACTTTGCATTATATGAGGAGGAAACCACAATGCAAAGTGCATCAGGAATGCAGAAAAAGCATTTGAATGATGTATGGTTTGTATTTATGGGCAGTGTTCCATTATATGGATATTGGTGTGGCTCATGTAAGCTCTGAATATGTCTGAGGTTAGAGGATTTTAATGCAAGATTGGAATACAAATGAAGATATATAAAATGGTCTCTGAAACTTTGCACTTTTTCCTATTTTGATAAGCTTAGGTTTTCTAATGGCGATGTGAGATAGTTTATTTTAAACTAACCAAACAACTCTCACTGTACCTTTTCAATCCTAAAATGGCTATCTGGGGATGTCAAACTTTTAAATGTGTTGAAATATTTATATGGTGCATAGTACATTGGACATTTTCAAGATCAAGTTTACAGTTATCTGTTAAAACTGCATTCTCATTTTATTTTTATAAGAAGTAGCATGAAACAATCATTCCATCAGCTGCCACTATGAAGTCCTCTTTCTGTTAAAAGTGTTTTTTATAGAGGCAGGAGCTAATACTTAAGCTGGAGTCTTTCTTTTTTTAACCTGTGGTCTGCCCGTTCTTTAATCCTTTTCAGTACAAGTGATAAGCCAGTTTGATAACTCTGTTTATGATCTTGTGCCTCCACCCAGTCCAGTTGAGACAGTCTTCGACTATAGTATCCAGCCAATACTGACAGTCTGCCTGGAGTCCTCTTCTGTTAGCTTAAAATGAAAGAGGATGTATAGCATCTCATTCTGCTTCATTTTTTATCCATATGGAATTTTCTCCCTCTCCACATAAACTCAGTTCAGAAGCAACTGCTTTGTTTCAGAGAGCTGTTATCTGGGGTTTCTGAAAGTGCCTGTTTTCATGCACTCCTGAGCACTCTTCCTGAAGCCTACCCCAAAGCTCTGAAAACTCCCATAAAATGCAGCAGAAGGTAGCAGTTGCAGCTTGAAACTGTTCTTTAGCATCTTCCCATCTTTCCCTTTCTGGAAATGCTACTATATTAAGAAAAGAAATCAGACTTTTCCTATAGAAAAGTAATACCAAGAGATACTATAAGCTCCTGTGTGCCTTGTGGAATAAAATTTTCATTGTCCTCTTTAAAATTAAAATTCATTATCAAACCCCAAGTTAATTGACTTAAGACTTAAGGTGAAGAGGAAGAATATCACTCCTATTTTTTACCCTATGCTTTCTCCTTCAAGCGTCTTGGCAATGTATGCAGTATAAAATGGTGAATTTCTTTGCTGAAGGTATTTGAAAGTGCTTTATCAACTAAAATTTGTGAAAGTTAGGACTCCTGCCCCTGTTGTCCTTCCCTTCATGCTGAACAAGTGTATGAGCCTGAATCTGGTAACTTTTGATGTAATTTAATGAAACTGAATTAGATCTAAACCTTGAAGTGAAATTATTTACAAACGTTGAATGTTGAAGTACCAATTTTTCTCAAGGTTGTATGAGAACACGGCAAAACTTATGGTGGCTTTTATGATAGAGCTTCTGTGTTTAAAACTTTAGAAGTGAACTTTAGAAACCTGTGACTTGCTGTAGCCCCAAAGGACCTTTGGCACATTAAGACAAGTGTTTTCTTTGTAGGGCTGGAACTGTGGACGTAATATGTAATGTTGTGCTGCAAACCTCTTTGCTGTTTTTTCCTTTTTTTTCAATCTGTTTCTGTAATCTCGAAGTTTTTGCTACTTTATCTTCTGCTTTCCTATAAAACTGAGCAACATGAATTTAGGCTTATGTTGCATATTCAAGCTAGCAGATTTAGTGCACACACCTCATCAGTGTGCAAGTATCAACATTGCTACCAGTTTGGAAATGAACTTGAGTTTTGGTTTGATTCCATTAGTCCTCTCCTGTTAATGTGCAAGTAAAGAGAACCTTTGTCAATGGCTGCATTTTGTCCTGTGGTCTTGCAACTGAGTGGTTCCTTAGTTTGTCTCAGGTTTGGGGTTTTCTTGGGCTATGAAGAGAAGGCCTGTGGCTCACTGTCAAGGAGCTGCTGAAAGTGTGGTGGATTTTGACATATGCTATGGCAAGTGGCCAGCAGAAAAACAGAGGGAAAGCTGTTCTGTTTAGTACTACATTCTGATCGAGAGTCTAGCACATTTTTAGTATGCAGCATATATAGCCTAGTTTTAAAAGCAGGAGGTTAATTTTATCAGAAAGTACAGCAACTCTTTCCAAAGTTATGGGATTTCTGGTAATAGTAGCTCAAGTATGAGCTGGCTTTGCTGTGTGGAAGATGCAGGGAGCTCTGCTGTCCCTTGCAGACTACACAGCTGGTAATGCATCATCATCTGTCCACTCAGAATAAAGGGGGTAACTGCTCTATCCAGAACTAGATGTAGTTAGTTGGTTCCAAGGTCTTTTACAAACTGACCTGTAAAAAAAAAAAAAAAAATTGGATTAATTACAACAAATTGTTGGACAGAAGATGGCTTTAAATTTAAGTGCATATTGCACTGTTGCCTCATAAAAATGTAAATGCTTAAACCTATATTTTGGAGCATGTTTTCAAAATAGTCTTTGTATAACTATTTCATAAAAGTTTGAAAATGCAACTTTGTAGAGTAATCCTGAATCGAGGATGCAGGTCTTATTTTAAATACTCCTGTTTCTCTGCCTTGAGAAGAACATAAAATTTAGGCTGCAGTGAGAGTGGTGCATATAATGTATTCTTAGCTTATATATATATGTGTGTGTGTGTATGTGTCTTATAGGAGGTGACTAGTTGTGTTTATGTTGGCTAGTTTTGATGTTAAAGTAAAAATTTCTTGGCCAACAAGAAGCTTGTTGTTGGCAGAAGATGGATACAGCATTCACAGCTAGTAACAGCAGGCTTAACAGTTTATCCCTTGCATTCCTTGCATATCTCAGAAATTCATGTAGGAAATTCTGAGAACTTTTTCTGTGAAATGAGTATTGAAACAGGGATGAAAGGGTAGGTACTAGTGAAGTTCTTGAGGGTCTCCCTACACACTGGAATCTGCTCCATCTTCCTGCCAGCACTAGATTTTTTTTTTCTTCCCTGCCTTTAAGACAGAATTTGAGTTTGCTTGAGATGCTTTGGACAATCTAGTTTTTATCACTGTTTTTGTCTTAAAAACTCCAGGCACCTGGAGATGTCAGATTAGACTGCTGTGAGTGTTTTATCTCATGAACCCTACAGTCTGACTTCTTTTCAGAGTGACTTGGCACCAACAGAGCTGTTTTACTGCAGAACTGGGCTTGTTCCTAGTATGTGGCTTTATTTGCTATTGTTAGCCTAGTCTTAAAAGGCTTGGACAGAGATTTTGCCTTTTCCTCTAGAAGATAAGAGTGACCATAATTCATTTTGTAAAGAACGTGAAAACATGGTATTTGCCCAAGTAATATTTCTCAAAGCAAGGAGGAAATGAGCTGCAGGAGGAAATTCTTTGCTGTTAACTCTGTGATGACTGAAGAAAGCTGCCCAGCAGAATTAGTGTCAGCTACGAAACAGTGTTGTACCTAGTCAGGCTTGCTCATGATCCCATTATAGCTGGCACTGTATTGCCTTGCTGCTGTTTATTCTCTAGTTCTTCTTCAGCAAAAGCCCTCCTCTATTTGCGTTCCCTGTTTGAGCAGCAGGGATTGTTTCAGTCTTAACCTTTTCTAGTAGGGAGCAAACAGCTAGAGGCTGCTGCGGGTTCTGCTTAAGGCAAACGGGCTTTCAGCGTGCTCACCTTGTTTACAACAGCTTTCTCCGGTGAATCCTCTGCAAAAAGCAGGCACAGAAATTGAACAGCTGCAGACATCTATGTTAAAAGATGATGAACACAACACACTTCATATGCAATACAGCAGGATGTTTATTAAACATTTGTTTGTATAGCTTATGAACACTTAAAAAGACTATACACATGAGATGTGACCTGCATTGCATTTTAGTTTTCCCTTTGGACAGTTAAGTATTTTTTCAGTTTGAACAATTGAAAGCTATCCCTTAAAGGAGTTTAACAAATGCTTATTTCAGGTAGAAGTTGGTACAATAATGCAGTACTAGTGACCATTCAGCCCTGAGGTAAAGTGTTGTTTGACAGGAAGAGCAAACTTCAGGCTAAAACTTCTGCATTTTCCTTTGCTGATATAACTGGGTTTGTTGTAAAATTGTTCCCTCATCAGGGAACATTCTGTTCCTACTAACCAGTAAATTTACCCAGGTAGAAAAAATCAGTAAAGCAGTTTGTGTCATTGAGGGAAAATGGAATATAGAGAATGGTACCTGTGTCTCAACTCTCTTCTCTCAGGAGCAGATTATCTGTATTCTTAAATGTAATTGCTTTGAGAAATTCAGTTTGGCTGTTCTCAGCACTCTTGCCTTGTTTTCCCAATTAAGACTTAAAGTGTCAAAGTACTCGACCACCTTTTCCTACCTTTTTGTCCTCCTTGCTGATTTGCTTATCTGTTGTTTTATAGGAAAGAAAATAAATGCATTGACACTTGGATAGCTAGCAAATTCCCTTTCACTTAACAGATCTGTGAGGTAGGAATTAGTATTCTCCTTAACAGGTGGAGAAATTGAGGTGTCTCTTTTAATACCACTAGTTAATACTAGGCTTCCTTTTTATTTTTCTAATCAACCACATATTTTTAATGAAATTGCTCTTAACTGTTACTTTCTGAATCCGTTCATAAAAGTATTAATACTCTTAAATATGTACTTTGCCTCTTGACCAAAATGCTCAGTATAATTCTGCTGATAAAATAACAACTCTTATATTCTCTCATCTCATTGTTAGTCCATATTATTAAGGTACTTTCAAGTCAGTTTAATAAAGTGCTTAGTGGTTAGCTTTTTTCAGTGACCTGAATTCAGAAGTTATATAAGTTACTTCAGAGAAGGCAGCTCTTAAATATGAGCAGTTTATCCATAAAGGCCCTATCTTTATTTTGTTCGAGTCATCAAGTATTTCATTGTTTTCAAGGTTTGATTTCTAAAGCATAGAACTGACTAGTGCAAATGCTTAGGCACAGTTCCATTAAAATGCATACATTCTTTTTTCTGTGCAGAGGCAACACAATAGTACATAGCTTATTCCAATGCTAGCTATTCCAGGGAACCTTAAAATGGCTCATGTCTGCCAAACTTGGCAAGAAAAAAACAAAACATGGGATCTAGTGCTCTGTTTTATAGCAACAGTAAAATAATAAAATGTTCAGTATGTTATTTAAAATGAAAAACAGCTAAACTGTTAGCTCCATCAGTGATACCCTGCCTACCTCCAGATTTAGGGGAAGGGATAAGGCTTGAATGTTGTATTCCCTAAGCAACACTAGCTAGTATGTTGCTTCATCCATATTGTCGTCACTGCCAGCACCAAAATCATCTCCATCCTCGAAGTACGAAGAAATGTAGTCATTTTCCTATATGAAAATATTGCAGATAAAAATAGTCATGCATGTGGAAGAGAATTTATGAAGAAAGCACATAGCAGTTGAGTACAATTTTGAAATATTAATGTAAACTTTTTTGCAAAAATAAGAGAAAACAGTAAGTTCTGGTATGTCCAAAATGGAAGCAGCATCTTTTGATGCAAAATTCATCCCCTGTTGAGATTATACAAATTAATGAATACATGTACTGATTGTGGAAGAGAATCTTCCTTTTTGCAAGATGTTATTGCCAAGCTCGTTGCAAGTAACACATCTAGAACAACTATTTAACTCCATGTACCAAAACCAATCAGGGTAATGGTACCTCTTATGGCAGCTCCTCTGCACCTCAGAAGCTAGAGGTGCTGCTACTCTGCCAGGAGACTGAGCAATTACTGGGAGCTGGCTTAGTACCCCTAGGAAAACTAATGCATACCTCTTCATGTTCCTCTTCATCATATTCTTCTGGTTCTTCTGCCTCTTCATCATCTTCACCTTCTTTATCTTTGGCTTTCTCTTTCTCATCTTCAGATTTTTCTTCTTCCTCATCCTTCTTTTCTAACTCCTGTCACGAGGCAATCTCATTTACAAGATAATCCCATGTTACATCAGCAACACATCCCTCTACGCTACCAGAATGTGATACTGAGTTAACAAGATGGTAAGCATAATGATTGTGTACTGATATAGGCCAAAATTTAGTATTAACAATAGTTAATTATTACCACACACCATAATGTATTGACAGGAAAGGACTAATGATAACAAAGATAAAAATACAAAGCTTTTGCACTTTTTAGCTTCCCATTCCCACAGTGGGTACTTACCTCTAAAGTCACATTCCTCCTAAATTTCTCATTCTGTATTTTTCTATTTCTCAACTTGTTACATGGGTTGGTTTCCAACAGCAGTATATTAAAAAAGCAGCAATACCTTTAGCAAGTTCTAATGGTACTCTATTGTTTATAAGTAAACTGATGTTCAGAAGCAAAGAAAATAGTTTCTTCACAACCAAGCTCTTTGCTCATTCTCTCCTTCATGCTACCCTTCTGCAGAACAGTGCTCTGTCAGTGTGGTAGGAGGAGGTTAAAGAAGGTGTGTTGGGGTTATTCCATTTGATGATGGAAGAAGGGAACATGGCAAATACTTCCTTTTCCAGCAATTTCTATTGTACAAATCAATAAGATTATGCATATCTTACCTCAATTTTTTTCAACATATCCAGATTACTTTTAGGCTGAGAGGGTGCAGAGCTTTTTGCCTTTTTTAGTTTTGTACCTGCTGAAATAAAATGCATCACTATTATTTTTTGATTAGGAAAAAACACTTAACACTTTTCTTTTACTTGCTGTTAGAATGTTACATTTTGAGAATGGTACCTGCAATGATTATTCAATAGAGTTTGCATTACAATTACATTGAACTACCTCATGGAGCTGCAACAGCCTGATCTATGTAGGTGATGCCTACAGGACCAGTCTGAAACTTCTCTGAACAGGTATTTGATCAAAAGTTTGTCCAAAATATAACATAGAGCATCACAAAATATTTTTCACCTACAATGTATATTAATAGAAAAAAAATCTATAATATTTTTCCTTATTTTATAAAGACAAAAATGCCTTCCTGCTCTAAGGTCTCCTCCTGAGTCTATGCAACACATTCATGGCTTCAGAGAGATGGCTAAGAACAGGCAGGCAGCACTTTATTAGTTCCAACACAGTAGTGTGGTTATTGTCACTACCTGGCTTTGGGACCAACCCTGGCCCTTTCCAGTGAGTTTGGAGTGCTCATTTTGGCCTAGTGACTCAATTCATGAACATAACCTTCTCTCTAGTTACTCCCTACAATTCATCCTCGTTATCTTCCTTAGCTGTATAGTGGGGGGAAGGCCAAAATAAGGATTTTATTTACCCAGATAAAAGCTACTTGGGTTGCAGCACTGCAAGGAGGATCAGCCCTGGTTGCAGGAAGGGCAGTTTGATGAGTAGACCTGGCAAATCAGAGCACGTTTCAAGAGCTCCCTCAGATAGCCTCTTTGTAGGCTGTAACTGCCTTTTGGCTCTACTGCTAAGTTCAGCACAGTGGCACATACCTACCATGTTTACCACACCTACCACAGACTAGCTCTTCTCAGCATGGAAAAGCAGCCTATGTAAAGCTCCATGCTGGTGTGTTCTGATAGACAAGTCTGCTTCAGATGAATTACCTTGTGTAGCCTGTGACTTCATTTATGCCAGCACTAGACAGCACTAAGCAATATCAAAATTAAAACTACTATGCACTGATAGAGAGAATATCATTTCCCAAGTAGGAAATGACCCAGTGCAGTATGGATTTCATCGAGCTCAGCATTTAAGGAGGAACACTACAGCTGCTAAGAGGATTACTGCATTTTGTCAAAAGCTTTTGTTATGAATAATATTCATCCGTTTCAGTGGTTTGCCTAGCAAGTCCCGTACAGTGCACCGTGTACAGCTGAGAGAAGTCCCCATGAACACTGCCAAAGCAAACAGGTCCAAAATGAAATGATTAGTATACTGCTCAAGTAGGCAATGCAAGAACAACAAGTAGAAAACGTGATTCAAAACAAGCATTTTTGCACAAACACTTGCAGGCTTTTACAAATAATGCTATTAGATGAAACAGACTGGAGATCAGAGCAGACATCAAAATCATTGTTTTGGTGGTGGGTGGCTGTAGGGCTTGATTACCATGACAGTTAGAGACAAAGACCCATCACTGGACAGGCAACTTGAAGCAAAATAATCTGTCACTGCCATTTTGCTTTTAGGTACAACGAGCTGCTCTTTCCAAACACCTCTTCCTACATTTCTCTGGCCTAAATACACGTATACACGCCGAGCTGGCCCACAAGAGCTGCACCTCTCAATGCTCTTTTGAGGTCACCGCTGCTATCTCAGACACCACGGCCCACGCTCGGCGTAGGAGGGATGTCGGGTTCCAGCCACAATCACATCAGCAGAAGGCATGTGGTTATGTGTCAGGTCAAAGCATTCCAGGAAGTCAGAAATGGGTCACAGGATGAAGCCAGCTCTGTGAATTTAACCGCACAGCTATCCAGAAATCCTTTCTGCAATCTAGGAGGCTAAAATAATAGGAATTTTGTTCTGACTGCAGCACGGATCAAATTCACTTCCCTCCCACACCTTTGCTCCGCTGATGGTAAAGTGTCATCTAAGACGGCTTTCCACAAACTCCACTACTGCTGACACGTGGCGGGTTTAAACTGTCCCTGCTCAGCTGTTCATGAATCTCCTGCACAGCGTGACTCTAGTACAGCCCCCACAGCTTCAGGATTCCCCCTAAAAAGACAAAGCCATGCGACTTTTGCTTTCACAGGAACGTGTCTTTGTATCTGATCAAATTTGGGTGGCTAGCTGATCTTTGCCATTATAATTGAGTAAAAAATACATACTTTTAAAAGCAAACAGAGAAACTGGCATAAAAGAAAGTGAAGAAAATGCAGTGAGCAGTGATTTTTCTCATGCTTTGTTTATGTTAATCACAATATTATTATAAGAAGGGAATAATAAATCAGCATTTCTGTTTGCATAGGATCAAAGGGAGGTAGTTATTGCCTGTAGGATTATGAAAGTCAGTGCTATTTCTTTTTTTAAAAAATATGTGTGTACTCATTTCTTTTTTAGAGTGTTTGCTGGTAAGTATGTGATTTCCAGTTGAATCTTGCAGTCTACCTTTTGTACCATGCTTCTCAATGAGGCTCTTAAAAGGAACAAAGCTTCCAGCTGAGCCAGTCTCCATGACTACTGCACATTCACTTTTCTTTTTCTACTTTATCCTTGAATTGAAAAATGACAGACGAAAGACTTGGACAAAAAGAACAAGAATGTAAACAATTATATATAACAGGCAGCTAACTAGAAGGGTTCAAGTGTTGTTTCACATCAACAGAACAACAAACTTCTACAGCAAAATTAAAGTCATGCATACTAGAAAGCACACTGAAAAAATAAACACATTTATGATGTTGCATAATAAAAAAAAAAATAAGTCTTTTTCTCCTTTAAGAACAACCAATACCAGCTCCAACTGCTGTTGAAGGATCTGGTTCACATTTCTGCAGAAGAAAGCTGAAAATAAACAAAAAAAGTAAAACCAGGGAAAATAGAAAATAACCTACATTAAATCACATACAAAAGGCTTAAAAAATAGAAAAGTCAAGCAAATCATAAATCAGAGAACTGAGAAACCCAAAATATAAAAGAAATCTGAACAACTAGCTATTCGTTAAACAGAAAAAAGGAGTGCTGACTGAACATTCAGACTTAAAGGTTTAGTGCTACTTAAAACTTTTATGTTAAATATCGACACCTATTATGTTAATATGTCAATATAAAAGATAGCAAAAGAAAGATAAGTCTATTCCAGTAACTTAAAACATCCTAAAAAACAAAACAATAACCACAAAAGCCAGACTAGCAGGGTATTTAATAAACATCTATCAAAATCCTTCATTATTAGGTCTCGTAACATTTGTACTTTTTTCTTTTTTTCCCTAAACAGCTCCATCATTTCTGCTTACATTCAAGTAGTGTGGACTAAGTGCTCTTTAAAAGTAAATAATTACCTTTCTTGGTCTTTTTGCTTGGTTTCATCTCTCTTGGGAGTCTTCGCCAATCTGCATAGAAAATACCTTTAATATATACGACTGATATCTTAGAGCACAGCTATAATCCCTCCCCACTGCCTCCCAAATCAGTGGGTTCCCTATCGTGCTCGATCCTGTGTACATGCACACTTGAATGTTTCCTCACACAGTAGTTCCACCAAACTCTGGTTGTACTTTATTTAAAGAAGGCCAGAGTAAGGATCTACATGGACATCCAGTTAATAAAGACTGGCATCTACCCCAAAGAGACAGCTGAAGTCCAGAAATGTCAGTTGCCATTTAATTTACATATCACAATTAATTTTGTACTAGCGAGCTGTGCAGACACAGCTGTGAAAGTTCAACACTACAARACCCAACTAGTGACCACTGAAAAGACAGGTTTTTTGTTCAGCTGTTTTTTTAAGCAACATCCATGTTTRCTTCCAGTTCAAGGCTGGTATTTAGAAAGGAAATTAAGAAAAGGGAGAAAACAAATTTGCTTGTTTGCTGCAAGATAAGCTGCTGAGTTTCTATACATTTTTTTTAAAGAGGGGGAGAGAATGACAAAATACTTAGCTTTGATTTGATCTAGAAGAAATATAACAAAGGCATAGCCCTCAAGGCAGGATACATGACTTGTTAAGGACTTGCTTGTTTTTATTACTTTAAAAATAATGAACCCAACATTGAAGAAGAAGAGGAGAATGCACAGGCTAACAAACGACTGACCTTTGATAATCTGAAATATTACCTGGGATCCATGCTGCACGCTCCTTTTCAATCTCCCGGTACTTTTTACTGTATCTTTCTATTACTACAGAGAAAGATATAAACACTTACTGAGTTCAGTTCTTTAAAAGGGCAGCTCAGTCACTGAAACATAAGCATTTTTTTCTTACCAAATTTCCCACTGAATTTTGCCCAACAGCAAAATSGACTTAATACAAAATTACTGATTATGACTGCAGTAATAGCTCATTGCCCCGAAGAGGGAAAAGTTCTGTGAGCATTCTACGAATAAAAACAAAGACCAAGGCCTTTGTGAACTAAGACTTCTATCATACACACCAGAAAAGTRTAAGCGAAAAGGAAGACATGCAAAAATTAAGCTCCATTTTCAACTTAGTTCTGACAAGGGCAAGCAAAAGACCTACTTGAAAAGGTACAGTAGAAAGTTTGTGTTTAAAATGATGGCATCTCAAGGGGCATTTAATGTAGACGGCTTTTGTAGATGCTAAAGGAAACTGTCAGCAACAGAGGAGGAAAGAAAGAAGTAGTTTTKATTTCTGCTTAAGGTCCTTTAATAAATAATTTATTGCTAATATCATCAGTAAAAAGATATATCTGACTCTTGCCACCCACAGTGAACAAATTAATCCCAAACCACTGCCAAAGTGACAGCCGCCAAATCACAGTAGATATAACTGCAAGAAAAATATGGCTTATGAAGTGAAGAAAACAGAGAATTTACTACAGAATAAACCTTCTACTCGCTCAAAATGGGTGGGTGTTCAGGTGAGTGATGAAAATCTATTCTGAATGAAAGACTATAATACATCAAAATTTCCAGGTCATGTTAGACATGGCATTAATTTAGTGCCTAACTAATGACAGAAAGAAAGACAGCTATGTCCTAATTAAAACATTTCACTTCTCATGCTTCAAACRGACCATTTGGCTCACAGGCATCGTGCTGAGGATTTAAAACAATGCATTTCTTCCTGCAGCAAAGCCAGTCTAAGAAATTCCTGCCCACCACCGTCCTCTTGCTGCTCTCTTATTCCTGTCAGATGTTTTGATGAAACACTGGGAAGGAAAGGGCTGGAAATCCAGGCAACTGAAACAATCAGTTAAAATAATTCTACCTTGAAGAAAGAAAGTGGCTTTTCTTAAAGCCAGGTCACTTTTGCCAGACWACACAGGCCCAGAGATAACTGCATCCTGCGAGACAAAAGCAAACTGCTTTATAACAGCATCTGTGCTGTAGACTGCCACCAGTGCTGGCATCCCACAGCACCTCAGATGAGGTATTTCTGTACAACTAATATTTCAGCTTAGAAACTTATCTCACCTTACCACCCTGCTCCTGGGGAGACGATGAGAACACTTGCAGCATTATCTGAGTTTACCTGAAGTGGCYATCTACCTGCTTTCCCTGCAATTGCCAGTTTTTGAAGAAAAAAATCTTCAGAGCTGGCAGTTCTATTAATAGGCACCCTCAGAAGCAGGGAGAGATCACTCTATCTCAGGAAGAGGGTAGCAGAAACATAGACCGCTCGAGGAGAGCAGTGAGCAGGATCATAGGAGGCAAAGTTGGGAAGGAAAAAGACAACATGTTCCCGTGAAGTGGCGGCTTCTTTGGAAATAAACCTGACAGGCTTTCAGGCACAATGGGGCTTTTTCATTTCTCGAATGGAAACAGCAGCTTCAAGCCTGAGAAAGATCAAGGGCACAGAGAGGGAAAATACAAAACAAAACAAACAAAAAAAACCTCTGGTGAGATGAGAGACCAAAAAGACTGAAATTTGTTTACTTAGAAGATAAAAGAGGAGATGTCATAAGAGAGTAATTTTGAATTCTTCTGCAGTCATGAAAGGATCTAGGACACGGAGATGAGATTTTCGGTGCTGCAGTGTCTCATAGCAGAGGGTTCGGCCGGCTGCCTCACGCGGGGCAGCAGACGGGGCAGAGCAGAGGCCGTGGCTGCCCCGGGAGGCGCCACAGCRGGGCCTGCGCGGCGGCGCCCGCGTCCGGTGCCACCCGCTGCGCCCTGGGCCCGCTGCGGAGCCAAAACGCTGCCCGCCGGAGCCACGGGCCTCGCAGGCAGCACCTTGCTCAGGAACGGGCGCCAGGAGCTCCTTCCTGCCCCAGGAACGCCTGATCACAGTATCGCGCTGCTGCGACAAGCCCGGGCTTCGGGAAGCTTTTCAAGGTCTCAGGAGGAATTCGGGGACAGCAGGAGTCCCCAGGTCASTCCTGAAGGAATACTGAACTACCAGAGAGATGTGAAATGGAAATAAGTTCAGAGGGGGGGAAAAAATGGCTATCTGCTCACATCACAATGTGCTGCTCCATTTTAAACTGATTTTTGACACAAGCCTAAGTGAGGTGTCATCAATGAGGTGTGCCAATCAAAGTACGCGTGTATGCATCTACACACACACAAACRTCATAGTACAGTATATATTACTCTGTTTAAATATACATACAGTCAAAAGCAGCAAAAGGAAAAATTTACACATTAAAAAATTTTAAATGCATATATATATATATATATATGTAAAATGTGGAATTCAGTATTATGGGGAGACACTACGACCAACAATAATCAACATTTCAGAGGGGATTGGACTATGTATATTTATGTCATACCTGTGCYATGAATATTCAGAGTGAGGAAATATTCCAGTTGTTTCAGGAAAGATATTATACATCATGTTTGAGAGCTCAAGTCAGCTCTCATTATTCCAAAATCATTATGTGACAGCAAACGAAGCACTATGTGGTGTCTGGCCACTCTGGACTTCTTAAACATCTCTATCAGACTTGTTGAAGACAGTCTACTGTACTGGCTGGACTTTCAATCTAATGGATACAGCATTTACACTGCTTTCATTTATTTCCTACTTTCCTGTAATTTACCATTTATACGAGTGAGACACAGTTCTGCTTTCTGACTGAGAAGCATGGATTTTAAGAGTATTAGTGATATATAACTTGATGTTAAGTACAGCACAAGATTGGTCACTGCTGAACAGTAACAGAGATGTTATTGTTTAATTCTAGGGTGTATAAGCCAAAGACATATTCTCRGGTCATGTATGACTTCTAATCCAAACAGCTCTGCTTCTGGCACAAACCTCAGCAAATCACTTGCCCTCATCTGAAAACTCTCCACATTTCAGCTATGTTGTCAATAACTCTTATCACTTTTTCTTTAATAGGAATAGAGGAAAAAATCATGTCCTAAAAGAGGACCTTTCAGAATGCCCTGTTGTCAAATACAACTTTAAGTATATTGCCATASAGTTAAAGAGGCAGCTGAATTTTGACCCTATGTATTTGCTATAAATATCTTTGCTCCACTGCAGAATTTTAGGGTATTTTCAGCATGTGCAAACGTATACTTCATTTGTATCTGATCAGCAAGCAATTGAAAAGACTGCACAGAGTTGCTCTTAGTGCTTCTTGCCTTGTCTCAAATAAAACAGATGTTTATTCCTCCCCTTCTCTCACAGAGCAGTTGTTTTCCAGTTGCAGCCATTGCAGATGCTGACCAGTAATTTCCATGTGTTTAAAAAGAGAAAATTTCCCTCTTGTTTTAAGCTGCCATTTCTTATTCTTCATCATCAGTACTAATTACATCTTCAATACATGCATTTCACTACAAATTTCTTCATAGAATAATAACTACTGAAGATATAAATACAAATAAAAAGCACACAAACAGACCTTCATGATCTTCTTCTACTGCCAAAAAATAAGGCATTTTTTTCATAGTTCCTCTAAGATCTTGTTTTAAGGCCAACATGTAATCTTCGTCTTCTCCTGTTTTCAGGGGCACTGGCTTATTGTCTGTACTCTGTACAAATTATGTTTATTATTCATTATGCATGAATATCCATCAAACATACAGGAAAACCAACAAAAAAGCAAAAACAAACATGACTCATGAAAGAGTGCAACTGCACTGTGCTACTTTGCAAGTATACTTCATTGCTTTYTAACATGCACAAATTATACTTAATGAAATTTATACCTTTTATGACTTAGTTAMATCTATCTGCAAAAGTGTAGGAAGAAAGCAAGAAAAAGTAGTACATTAAAACAGGGAAAGAGTCATTCAAATAATGTTATCCTCGTGGTGCCAATATTCTTAACTCCTAAATGCAGTTTCTCATGCCAGCTCAGAAAAGCCATTACTTAGAAACCACTGCTTCTCTGTCTTTACAGCCCTAAGACTGTGTCATGAAGGTTAGTTTAATTGTTCCAGCTATACTTACTAACTGGCTAACAATTCAAATCATTAAAGTTGAGGGTAAAGGGAGTAAAGAGAGTAAAGGGAGTGGCGATGCTCCTCAGTTCTGAAGTCTGAGTTCTAAGTGCATTTACAGGAAATTTAKAAGAACAAAAAAAGAACCTACGTGGATAACAATTCATTGTTTAAAACAATTCTCATGAMAGCCAATTGTAATGCCAGGTTTTTGGTCACTGCCCAAACATTAACTTTTTGTTTGTTTCCTATTCTAGTCATGCTACTTGCTTCTTTGTGTTTTTTKTTTGTTTGTTTGTTTGAATGGCACAAGGTATCCCCTAGAAAGTTCACTTTAGTTCTATAACTGACTGTTCACAAAAGGAAGAGTTGAACTTCCCTCTGGTCTCCATTAGATATAATAGGGCTAACAAATCTCTTCAAGGCAGTTCTGTTGATGACATTAACTGTGGAAGCTGTAATTCACAGGGAATTCATGCTCTCAGCACACAGCAACATCCACATTAGGAAGAATAATAATAGATGGCTTGCTTAGATCAGCAAAGYTGTGTGATTCAGCCTGTAAAGGAAATACTAAGTTAAGAGAAAGACAACCAGTAAGATCTGGTTTGGTAGGTCAACACTTAGGTACAGCAACTATTCAGAGGCATCTCCRAATAGCAACAAGTATAGGCCAAACTTCAGGACATGTGGATTGCATAGCATGTGCCTGGATCAGACCTTGACATAACTGGCAAGTTTTCTTATATAAAATTTTAACACTGCTAGTGGTTTTTATTTTCCACTTCAGAACTGCTGAAGTTTTCCTATATAGCAAAATAAAGCGTAAAAAGAAAATCATTTTCCTTTTTTTTACACTTCGTTTTACAAACCATTAGAATTTGAAATCCAAATCTTGATTTCCTAATTACATGAATATCTCTCAGTTATTTTCAAATTATTTACAATTTTATCTAATAAGGTAAAAGTTATTTATCTAAAAATCTTTTTTTTTTTTTTTTTTGTGTCAACAGGAAATTTCTAAAATTCACAGCTTCAAAGAGTAGCATGACTTTACTTCAAATTCAGACATCTAGAGCTTCCATTACTGTAATAGCCAGAAAAAGAAAAATCACAAGGAGGGCAACCTAGCTAAACACAGGATGCAACAGGTAGCAAAGAGTCAGGAAGCGATAACCACAAAGCAATGGAAACCTACGGCTKCCTACACACAATACTTCAAACCTGACTTGAGGTGCTTAAGGCTGTGCATATATTCCATCTTCTCTCTGAACGGGAAGGTGAAAACATTGCAGGTGGACACTCTATAGAACGGAGTTAGGTGTGAGAGAGCAGCAGTACTTACAGGGAACAGGGGTGGGGGCTTGCACGCTACCTCGGGCAGAGAGGCCCCTTTGGCAAAGCCAATGGCCTCGATGTTGAAGGTAAACGCAGCTCGGCCTCTTCCTCTGCCCGACCCCGCCATCTGCACTGCCTGGAAATAACACAGGTTTTTACAAGATTATGGGGTTTTGTCACATATAGGAAATAGATACATTCTAAGTAAAATATAAAAAGCCAATTACGGTAGCATTAAAACACTTTTAGTGATCATTTGAAATAGCAAGCCACTTCTACTCCCCATCTTGAGTTCTTCAACAGCCTCTAGATTAGGTACATGTTTAAAATCAATTCCATTATCTCGTTTCTGCTAGCCACCTTTGCATGCCTGAAATTGTCTCCTAACCTACAAATTTTAAACTTTTAAACAGACTTACAGCTGCACCTCTCAGCTATACCCAAGGTAACCACCATTAACATGCAGGTGAGATGACTTCAAATAAGAACTAAGAACTAAGAACTAAGAACTAAGAACTAAGAACTAAGAACTAAGAACTAAGAACTAAGAACTAAGAACTAAGAACTAAGAACTAAGAAATGGGATAGTTACCTACAGCTTTTCATACAGTTGTCCTGGATAAGAGAGAATCAAACAGAGAATATAGATGAGAACAAAGGAATTCATACTTCAGATTAAGCTCTTATAATGCAATCAATGCCTTCTAATTAAATGTCAGCACAAAAAGAAAAAGATTCATGCAATATTTTCTGGTTTACCACTTTCCTCAGGAATAAACTTTACATGGATAAGACAACACATTGTAGTTGAAACAACACAGAAACCTCTCTAAAAATAAAGACCTAAATAAGTCATTTTAGGAAAGGGAACAAATTAAAAAAAAAAGACCTAAATAAGTCATTTTAGGAAAGGGAACAAATTAAAAAAAAAAAAAACCCTAAGACTGAGCACTTAATTATCTCAAAAAACAATAAAAAGAAGCATCAGAAGCATCAAGTTTCATTGAAAAGAGGATAAAAAACAAGATGTGAGCCTGGCAGAATGAAGAAAGACAGAAGAAATAGAGCAGTCCCAAACATGTACAATCCTGRTGTGGAAAACAAGAAACCACCTACAGAAGAAAAACAGAAGAGTGATGTGAGAGACAAGCTGCTAGGGCGGAAGGGAACGTTATTTAAACACAGAAAATATAGAGCCCAGTTTTMGGATGCTGCTGTAAAAACCACCTCTACACAAGATTTTCTTGAAACGGTGAATTAGCCTAATGTGCAGTTACAAGCAGTAACAAGCCTGAGAACTCGTCACAGTCCAGGTCAGCAGTTTCAGCAGCTTTAGRGAAGCTCTTGACTTCTTTTTTTTTCTGGTGTTCCTCCTGGATTAGAAGAGACTTTTCTGTCTACCATGCATGTCTACTACCATAAAGTGGGGAGCTTCACAACGACCTAAGGAGGGCCGCAGCTCCACGCGCCGCTGCCACGAGAGATGCCTCGGGTGCCTCTCCCTGCACAGGGAGTTCCCGCCTCACTCCTCCTGCAGATGAGAAAGCAAATTCGGGGATGAGACCAAAGCACACATGCATGCTTTTAAAACCGGGCGGCATCCAGGAAACCCAGCGTCCCTTGGAATGGAAGCCCCTCGCCAGTGCCGGCAGCCCCGCTTCCCGGGGACGGGGATGCCGCGGGGYGGAGGAAGGTGCAAAAACCGACGCCGGTTTAGGCAGCGGGCGCTCCCTGGACCGCGCTGAGAGGCCACGAGCCCCCCCCGGGCGACGCACCCGGCCCCGTGTCCCCGCCGGCCGCCCCACGCGGACACGGCAGCGCACTCAGCCCCGCGCACCCGGGCCCGTGTCCCCGCCGGCCGCCCCACGCGGACAC